TCTACCTGTCCCCCACCCCCACCCCAGTCACCCAATTTACAGCTCATGAAGACAGTGATGGCCTTTGTTCTAGGTATTGCTGCTACAGCTGTGACTGGGGAGGTGAGACAGGGACTGCAGCACCTGAGGCTGAAGGGAGGTGGAGCCACTGAGGGGGCAAGGCCACTCCATGCTCCTGAGATGAGGGGTAGGTTTGCAGAACCCAGTCAACAAAAACCATCTGTGTTACCAATAAAACCCAGCAGAAAGAGAAAGAAATTCTATTCAAGATAACTTAAGAATGTATAAAATAATTGGGAGTCTGCCTTCTAGGGTGCATACAAGAGTTATTTTTTAAATAACATTTTGGGCTTTTTTTTGTCCAACTACATGTAAAACAATTTTGACATGTTTTTCTTTAAAAGTTGTTTTTTTTTTCTTGGCTAGGCAATGGGGTTAAGTGACTTGCCTAGGGTCACACAACTAGTAAGTGCTATGTGTCTGAGGGCAGATTTGAACTCAGGTCCTCCTGAATCCAGGGCCAGTACTCTATCCACCACACCACTTAGCTGCCCCTCTTTAAAAGTTTTGAGTTCCAAATTCTATCCTTTCCTCCATCCCTTCCCCTCCTTGAGACAGTAATTTGATATAGGTTATACATGTGCAATCATGTAAAACATTTACATATTAGTCTTTTGCACAAGAAGACAGGAAGGAAGGAAGGAGAGAGAGAGAGAGAGAGAGAGAGAGAGAGAGAGAGAGAGAGAGAGAGAGAGAGAGAGAGAGAGAGAGAGAGAGAGAGGAGAAAATGCTTCAGTCTGTATTCAGACAATATCAGTTCTTTCTCTGGAGGTGGATAGTATGTTTCATCATGAGTCCTTTGGGATTGTCTTGGATCATTGTATTACTAAGAATAGTTAAATCATTCACAATTCTTTATTGTACAAATGTTTTCCTGGTTCTGCTCACTTCACTTTGCATCAGTTCATGTAATTCATAAGTTTTTCCAAGTTTTTCTGAAATCATGCTGCTTGTCATTTCTTTTAACACAATAATATCCCATCACAATCATATACCACAGCTTATTCAGCCATTCCCCAATTGATGGATATCCCCTCGATATCTAATTCTTAGCCACCACAAAAAGAACTGCTATACATATTTTTGCACAAACAGGGCCTTTTCCATTTTCTCGTGTCTTTGGAATATAGACCTAGCAGTACTTTTGCTGGATCAAGGGGTATGCACAGTTTTATAGCCCTTTGGGCATAGTTCCAAATTGCTCTTCAGAATGGTTGGATCAGTTCACAACTCCACTAACCATGCATAAGCACACCTATGAGTTACATGAATAAAATTTAAAACATGCTTAACAGAAGTAAATACTGACAAATAATTGGAGTGATAGTAATTACTTATCTTTGGGCTATGCTAACATAATAAATAAGCAATTCTACCTAAATTAATTTACTTTTTCAGTGCCATAACAAACAACCTACCAACATGTTACTTTATACAACTAGAAAAAAATCTTTTAGAACAAATAATAAAGAAGCTCAAGGGAGATACTTTTTTTTTGAAGTGGGAAGGGGGCCTAGTAGTGTCGTATCTCAAATGATACTATGAAGCAGTAATTGTCCAATTTACCTGGTACTTGTTAAAAAAAAGATAAGTTCATGGGTTTTAAAAAATGATTATAATCCATTCTTTTGTAAAAGTTCCACTGTGTTACATAATTATGGTGAATGGGAACTCATCCAAGTCAACTAATGGATCCCTTTCCTTCTTGGTGAATTCTTGTTCACTATGATTATAAAAAGGCAGTTTCACAATAAAGACAATAAAAGTTTAATTTACCATCAAAAAAGCAAAGCATCTTCCAATTCCACTCTGGTTTCCTAAATCCTTTCTAGGAAGATGTGTGAATTATCTCCAGGGAAAGTAAAGTCTGCTGATTAAAAATGATCTGAATTACTTCTGTGGATTGCATAGAAACTTTTGACAAGACAAAGGCCTCAAGGCCCAGAAAATTCCACAGATGGAATAGAATAAATTAGGGTTAACTGGGACTATTCCTAAAAGTAGTTCATCTTTATCAAATGAATCTTCACGCAGGCTGGATCCAAGAAATTGCTGAACTACAAAGCCCTCCTTTTCTTGGGTAATCTTGATCTACAAAGGCACAGCCTCTAGGAAGTGAAGTACCCAACCTTGATAATCAGGGTACAAAAACAAAGCTGTTGTTTTTAAAATCTGTTCCAGCGCTGAACATGATCACCTGCCTGAAAACAATGGTACACAAGATGGAAAAACCCAGGAAATATGATGGTGATGATCCTAATCTCAGACCTTTGTGTTAAAACAGATACACTAATAGGAAGCAATGCTGTGGGGTAAACCCTGTGGAAAACAAATATGTTCCATAAGAGCTTTGATGGTGGCTCTTGGGATTGCAGCCTCAACTGATACAATTCAACATCCAGAATATGGTACCTGCAGTGAGGACAAAATTTTTGCCCATCAATAGAAGATCATAAGATCATAGATTTTAGAGCTGAAATGGACTTAGAAGATTTCAAGTCCAGCTGCCTTATTTTACAGGTGAAAAAACTGAGGCTAATAAAGGTAAACTGACTTCCCCAGGATCATATAGCTATTAAGTGTCTGAGGCAGGATTTGAACTCACAGTTCCTGAGTTTCAGCCTGTTATTCTATTCACTGTACCACTAGCTACAAATAGCTATCATTTTAATAACTATGTTGCTTTTAATCATACTATAACTTCCTTGTTTTTCTCCTCTAGTGGGATATATTTTGTTATTGCCTAATCTAAAATCATTACTACAATTCTTGGCTTTTTGGATTCTGCCTTTGAAGTACAAAAAATTAAAACTTCAGTCCTTCATTTGGAATTTTTATGAGTTGCTATGTTTTAGATGTGTTACTTACAAGTGGTAAACTCTTGGATAGCTTTATCAGGAAAGAATTAAATTTTGTGACTATTGAAGAACCATCTTTTCTGACAGTGGAATATGCAATTTTTTCAGGGTAGGTAGTTTTGTGGTAGAGCCAGTTTCCCTAGCTTTTCATTTTGTGTTTCTTATGGGAAATCTAGCATGATTTGCATGTGTTTGTTGATATGGTTTATATGTAAAATGCTTCCTCTAGCTAATTTCAAGACTCTTTCCTTGGAACCTGAAGTTTATCTATTTGGGTAGTTAAACTCAGGGATGAGCATCCTATTGAATTCTATTCTGCCCTGCTTTTCCAGTACTTCTTAAATCTTGCCTGGTTTCCTAGAACATAATATTCAGACTCTGCTTCATTATGTGTTTTTATGGAAGATTCTGATTATCTGCCCTCCAGCACTGTTGTTTTTGTTTGCATCCAGCTGTGGTCTTCCGGTTTAGCCATTTAAAAAAAAAGTAATATTTATCATTTGTTCTTCTAACACTCTTTTTTTTTCTTCTTCTGAGACACTCTACTCCTCAGCAAGACAACTGCCTCACTAGGATTCTCCACTGTCTTTTCTACATTATCAATTTTCATATTTGTGTTCCTGAATTCTTCTTTCATTAATATTTTTCAATCCAGCAGCTAGACTTCTTTTTATATTTCTTTATTTTCTCAAGCCATCTGAAAGTTCTTGTGATGTGTCCATTCTTCATAAGTTATAGCTGTTTTTGGAGTACTCTTTTTTCCTTCTAGATAGTTTTTACTTTCTTTAACAACACAATATTTATTTATTTGATTTGGACCTCTCTTTTGTTGACATATTTTTTGAGTCTTCCGCAAGAATTTCTTTGGCTTTTCTGAAATAAATCTAGACTTGGCTGCAATATGTCTCTGCCTCTCTTTCTCTTCCCATTTCTTATCTCTTTTCCCTCTTGTGAGAACATGTTTTGTTTATTATAGGAAAACATTTGGCTTTTTAGTGTAAAATGCATCCCTGAAGCTCTCCTACTGTCTCATCCCATCAACTACCTGACTTCTACATTCCAGCCAAACTGGAGTACTAGTTGTTCCCTGAACCTGGTACTACATATCCCACATTTCTGGGCATCCATATAAACTACCCCCCAACCCCACCTATGCTTGGAATACATTCCATTCTCCCATTCCTCAGAATCCTTGTGTTTCTTCAATACTTAGCTCAAGTGTGACTTTTTTTCCCCTTTTCCCAACCATGTCTAGTTTCTCTCTTCCAACAGAATAAAGAAAGCCTTTTTCTTATAACCACTGTCAGTGCTTTAGTTTATTTCATTTCATTTCATTTTTCAGAGTTAACAGTTGGGTATTATTTCTGTGAGCACTGTGTTTTTTTGGGGTTTTTTAGGGGTTTTTTTTCAGAGTTAACCGTGGTTACATGACCTCTGTGACTCTCTGGTCATTTATTTTCAGAGTTAATAGTGCTTAATAAAGGCTGTTGAATTTAATTGAACAAGCTAGATTATTTGATAGAGCAAATACAGAAATAATATTGTTTAATCAGCTGTTGATTAAAAATACAAAGAGAGGAATAAAATATGGAGGTGTACTGTGATGTAGGATGTTCAGAGCAGAATCCAAATGTAAAAGGAATTCCCTATACATAATGAGGTCCTTCTGTTTTAAAATAATATCATGATAATTGCATCAAAGCACAGAATACAAGGCCTCCTCAGTTGATTTATGATTGTTCAAAAAAGATCACCCCCACTATTCACATAGGAAAACTAAGTAGATGAAGATGGTCTATTATTCAGATTGTGAAATGACATTAAATGGACAGTTCACATCATTGCTCAATCAGTAGTACATTCTTAATAGACATTAAAGATTGACCCACGATTGAATAGGCACATGATTGAATAGGACTAGATTCCATTTTAAAAACTGAACAGTGCCCCCAACCATCAGCAGCAGCAGCAGCAGCAGCTTAGAATTCAAAGGGCCCTCAGAATATTTTCAACCCCTTTCTTTTACAGAGCAGGAAATTGGAACCCGGTAAAGTTAACCAACATTCCTGAAGTCATGACAGTTGTAAGTTGCATACTTGTTATCTACATTAAGTGTTTTTATTTTTTCCAAGCCTTGTTTAGCTTTTCAGAGGATTTTAAAACATCATATATTGGCAGAGTATGTGGTCAAATGATCCTGAAGCCAAATTCATCTATGAATAAATTTTAAAAATTATTGACATCTTTCTTCATTACTTATATCATATTGTCCTCTTCTGCCATTTTCCTTCCAGAAAGCTGTCTCCTAAAATGAAGAAGAGAAAGAAACAGTGACAAAGAGACAGGGAGAGAGACAGAGTCAGAAGAACAAAGACAAAGGGAGACAGAGGGATAGAGAGGCAGTGTAATAGAGATAGCAACAGAGAAAGAGAGGGAGACAGATAGACACAGAGAGGCAGAGAGAAAAGAGCAGCTTATCAGAACTATCATACCAACCATGTTGGAGTGTTCATCACAGTCACAGTTATCTTCCCCACTGGAATAAAGAAATGCAGGTTAATTCTCATGTCTCTTCTTTGGAGCCACATTTGATCATTACAGTATTACAATACTAAGTTTTGATGGTTTTATTGTTGCTTTTTCTATTTACTTGTTGTGGTCATCCAACATATTATCTTTCTAATTTTCCCTTTGGCATAGTTGATCTATCTTCTCGTATTTCTCTGTGTTATTCATATTAATTGTTTATCATGATATGGTAATACTCCATAACAAGGGGCAGCTAAGTGGCATTGTGGATAGAGTGCTGGGCTTGGAACCAGGAAGATTCACCTTCCTGAGCTTGAATTTGGACTCAGATACTTACTAGCTGTCTGACCCTGGGCAAGACATTCAACCCTGTTTGCCTCAGTTTTCTCATCTGTAAAATGAACTAGAAAAGGAAATGGCAAACCTCTCTAGTACTTTTTCCAAGAAAACCCCAAATGGGATCATAAAGAGTCTGAAACAACTGAAATGACTGAACAACAATAGCAGCAGCAGCAGCAGCAGCAACAATACATATCTTAGAGCAAATAGGCAAACTGACAAACAACCAAACCCTGTTTTCCACATGGCTGTGGCTTTTGTTTTGGATATGTGTTTCTATATACTTCCTCTTAAGATTTATTAACCTCACTGCATTGAGAATTAAATACCAATGGAGCAAATGAAGGTCTCCTTTTCTCTAGGTGGAATGTGACATTAAGTCACTGGGAGAAAGATGTTGTTAATTAGATGTGTTGCCAAGAGCTTAATGTTCGAGTAGCTATTACCATTTCTTATAATTCTGTTACCATGCATGCTTCAGATACTGGGACACAACCAATCCAACTCAATCCTCCTTCACATATTTTTTTTAAGCTGAGAAAAGTGTAAATTAAAATGAGAGTAAACAAAAAAAAATTGAACAGTGCTTTCATTGATCTCAAGCTTCTCCCTAAAGCAAAAGTTATTTTTCTGGAACCAAGAGTCTCCTAATCATGCTTTACACCCACAAATCATGGACCATGGAAAAGGCAGTTCACAATAGACATGCATGGTGGATATGAATAAGCTGTCATGTGTTTGTCAATGATGATCAGTGTATATCAAGTGACTTACAAGTTTTATCTAAGAAATATTTTATTGGAAAAGGAGATGAGCTAGTTATATAGTCATGCAGACATTACATCACAAATACTTCACTAGTATGTGTGGAATATTAAAAGACCTAGAGAACCCCGTCCCCAGTTCCCCCTCTCCCCAGAAGTAGAGTGAATATTTTATTTCCTCAGGAAAAAAATGAGGAAATTTATAAATGGTGAAGGGAACTTTCAGAAATTTTTAGATAAGCAATAGCATTTCAAGAGTGAACTTATTTTTTAGAACTCTTAATGAAAGAGTTTTGACCTAAGAATCAAAATGATTATCAAAATTATAAATTTTAATAGGCCCGTGTTAAGAATGATAATGTCGTCTTTGTTGATAACTCAAATTTATTTGTAGAGGAAGTTTAAAATAGAGACATCTAGTGGTAAATGTGAATAAAATAATGCAAGTTGAAAAACATTTTAAGTTGAGAATACAAAAGAATTCTGGGCAGTGAGATCTAACTTGTGAACACTCAAGAGTGCTGCTGACTCATTTTTCTATTCACCAAACCATTGGATTTAAATGAAATATTGTAAAAGTGTTTTAATAAAAAAAATAAATCAGCATCAGATAATAAGAGCTCTAGAATGGGGTTCTTAATATATGTTTATCTATTTTGACACCTATAACAATACATTGTACTATTATGATTATTATGATATAATTGGTTTCCTTTGTAATTCTGTTATTTGTGTTTTCTGCATTTAAAAGTTTTATTCTGAGAAGGGGCCCACACAAGACTTCTAAAGGGTTTCATGACCAAAAAAAAATTAATTTCCTACTCTAGACAATTCTGTTGCAATTGGTTTCTCTTTCTCTTTCTTTCTTTCTTTCTTTCTTTCTTTCTTTCTTACTTTCTTTCTCTCTCTCTCTCTCTCTCTTTCCTTCTTTTCTTTTCTTTTTTTTTTTTGGTGTTCACTATAATATATTGTGGTGTGGGTAGTAGCATCTTAAATATAGGAAAATAAAAATTATGCTCATTGTTTTTCCTGGTAGCATATTGACACTGGTATGTTTTTTATACTTTCCACTATCTATAATTTGGGACTGATCTTAAACTGGGATGGCCAAAGACTGACTGGAGTTACTATTCTTCCTGCTCATTCATTTTAAATGATGTTTTACTCAAAATGCAAGGCTTGTCTTTTGAACAAAGAACTTCAGGCAATGAATGGACATTAGGTTAACCTTTGATTTTTACTTTTGTTACTTTTATGAAGCTTGTCTCAATGAAAGAGAAGGAAGTTGGGCAGAAAAGAATGAGAAACATTCTTTTTCATTTTGTTACATAGTTCGCTCTATTAAATCATGCCAAATCTCAAAACTACTGTTTTTAGTCTCCACCAATGGCAGTTTTATGGCTTAAACAGAGACAAAAGACATGAACCATTTTTGAGAGGCAGTTAAGCATAATGGATTTGGACCTGGGTTTGAGTGCTGCCTCAGATATTTACTAGTTGAGTGAATTTGGGTAAGTTGCTTTACTTTTTTTGTTGTTTGAAATATCATTTTTTTAAATAAAATTGAATGTTTCATTTTTTTAATTTTTAAATTTTCTTTTGGCAAGTCACTTCGATAGCTTTTGTTCCAGAGCTGTAAGAATCAGTGAGTCAATAAGCATCTAGTAAGCATGTAAAGCTGAGATTACAAAGAAAGGCAAAAGATAATCCCTGCCCTTGAGGAGTTCACAGTCTAATGGGGAAGACATTTGAACAACTATTTACAAAAAAACTTTGTACAGTATAAATTGGAAATAATCACTAGAAGGAAGGCACTAGAATTTAGGGGGATTGGGAGAATCTGATGAGAGACTCTTCCACATGAAATAAATAAATTTAAAAAATAAAAATAAAAAACCCAAACCCTCTCCAAGGCAACCTCCAAGGATAGGAGTCCCAATTCAGCCTGAGGAGAGAAGACTAAAATAAAATAAAATAATAATAATATAATAATAATAATAATAATAATAATAATAATAATAATAATAATAATAAAGTAAACCAAATCCTGGACTTCTAACTACTTGGTAAAAATTTACTCTCAACTAGGAAAATTGCCTTAAAGTTTATCTCTAAAGCACTTTTCAGCCATGTGTCACATATGGAATGAATATACTAATGAAAACCCTCATCGGCAATGGTCAGATGATGGGTGTTTTGATACTGAAAAATTAATCTGTTGTAAGGGTTTATGGAAGTTCATCTTTCTAAGCAAAACTATTGATATCTTTCGGGGTGGGGGGAAGAAGGGTATTGGTAGCTTAAGAGTGAGCAGTGTTTTATGTAATGTAGAGTGTGTTCTGTCCACATTTTCTGTATTCTGTGTTTTGATAAATCCAGCTAAATTTTTCCCATGGCCTTATCAACCAAAGGGAAAAGTGGGGGTTGGGGAGGAGTTTGAAAATTTTTCTGTTGAAGTTCTGAAACTTTCAAAACATATAGTCTAATCTCTGTGTTCCTAATTCCGTCCAAGCTGGGATTGCAGAGCCCTTTTCCTGCCTAATCTCCAGCTTTTAGAGGGAAGAGAAGTTATGAAGCAGAGCCATTTATCTGATCATCTTACTTACTTACATGTGCTACCCATCTCACTTTGCACTCGCTCTCAGCCTGATCTAAAACCTCTGTTGGGAAAAGGCAGGAGAGTTGGAATATTTCTTGTTCCCCCATTGCTACTTCTAGCTACTCCCACTACCTCTACCCTTCAGTAACCTCTCATCCTTTGAGGTTCATGCTATTCCTATCTAGACCTAATCAAAATCCTGGTAGCTATTGTCTGCAGACCACCCAGGTCACTCCCTTTCCTTGCTCAATAAGTTTGGTATGAGTATTTCCTTGCAAATTTGATGTTTCCTTACAAAATGAGTTTATTTCACAATTTTTCGCTCTTTCCCAACTCCTGTCTTCATACTAGGGGACTTCAATGTATATTGACTGTCCCTCAGACACCCTAACCACTCAGTTCCTTAACCTACTAATTTCTTATAAGCTGCTTCTTCAGCCCACCTCAGCCACACACAAAGATGGTCATACTCTTGATCTTGCCATCACCCACAAATGTACAACCTCTATGTACAAGAATTCTGAAATCCCTTTATCCTATCATAATCTATTAACACCTCTTCCTCTGCCTTACCTTACAAAATCCTGTTCTTCATCCTCACAATGGTGTCTTATCTCTGGACTACTCATTTCTCTCCCAGACCATTTCCCCTAGACTCGCTCCTTTTTTCCCCCCATTGATTCTTTGTTGAATCAATTCAACTCTACACTATCCTTCTGTCTTGAATTCTATCCCCTTATCATATCAATGATCACCCAGCCAAGCTTCAGTCTTGGTTCACTCCCACCATTCACCACCTTTATTCCTACACATGTGCGGCTGAAAGAAGATGAAGAAAATCATGCAACTGTTCTTTGTCTATTATAGATTTATGTTTCACAACCTCAGCTGGGCCCTCACTGCTGTGATATAGGCAATCCTCCCTTATTAATTCACTATCCCACTCTCTACTGCAGCTCTTCTAAACCTTTTTCTCCCTCCCATGGTTCCCCCACCCTCACTCTCTCAACTAAGAATTTTGCTTCATATTGTAAAGAAAAAGTTAAGGCCGTTCATCATCAACTTCCTTTTCTCCCCTCTTCCTCACCTCCTGTCACTCAGATGCTTTCTGCTACTATCTCCTCTTCTACTCCTGTCTCGTATAATAAAATTGCCTTATTCCTCACCAATGTTAACTTCTGTATTTGTTCAAGTTCCATCCCATCTCCTCCAACAGATTGCCCCCTGTCTTATCTCTGCTCTTTCACTTGATTTCAATCTCTATTGGCTCATTCTCTACTGCTTACAGACATCACATATTTATTT